GCCAAAATGCCACGGCGGGACTTGACGTTAGCTGAAAAAATTGGTTTCCTGGATCAGATCAAGCAACAACCAAACACTAGTCAGCGTCGGTTGGTGGAAATTACTGGCTTGGCAAAGACTACAATTGCGCGCTTGATAAAACAAGAGAATGAGCTGCGAGAAGAATGGGCACAATGTGAAGGACAACGAGGAACATCTCAAAAACGGAAGCATGAAGGCAAGGATCCAGACGTCGATGAGGCCCTTAACGAATGGTTTGCCATTGTTACTGGACGAGGTGTGCGAGTAAGCGGTACAATGTTAAAGTGCAAAGCAGAAGAACTCTCTTGTTTGTATGTTCGCCATATGTGTGTGCCGCACAATAAAGGTCATAATGACATTTTAATATGTTACGTATAGCATGTCCCGTCTTGTAACATAGGGCATGTTTGTGTAATCGGACCAGCCGGTTATTGGGACCAAAATGATCGCGTCCCGATGTGGTCCGATTAACCGGAATCGACTGTAGTCACTTTTGCAGTCCTCCCACGAGCTCTAGCAACGTAATCGGAAACCTCTGCCCGCAGTCGAAGCCGATCATGACGTGCTACAAGCTGGTGACGTGCGAGTTCAAGTGGTGGGGGCTGCAGAACAAGGTGGAGTCGTTCATCCAGAAGTCGGAGCGTCGCCTCTTCCTCAACTTCCATCGCCAGGTCTTCTGCTGGATCGACGAGTGGCACGGCCTCACCATGAAGGACATCCGGGCCATCGAGGACGAGACCAAGCGGCAACTCGATCAGGTCTCTGACTGGCTCCTCTCTTTCTTGCTCGATAAGTTGGTGTGGAACTACCTGTGGAATGTTGAAAATTGTGAGTATGGAGTTGCATGGGGAATGATTGCAATTTAAAATATTGTTAAATAATGTTGTAGTTGGGTTTAATTACTTGTCCTTAATCTGAAATCCCTAAGGATATTCTTATTGCCTGGTTTTGCTTTAGAAGAAAGCGATATCTGAAAATATAAATTTTATTGTTGTAATTCTTTTTAGGGTTCCCATTAATTGACCATGGGAAAATTTTCATGATTGAATTTGAAGTAACCTTTTATTTGGTGCATGTAGCTTGACTATTTATTGACCTGAGTATAGGGCTACGTCTTCCTGTCTCTTAGATGTGGCTGAGTTTATGCCTGTGGTCTTTGGTTATTTCAGATTCAGTTATGAAAAATTGCTTGTGATCAATCCTCTTCTTGGATATCTTATATTCCAGATATTAATTGCCTGTTTCAAGAAATTAGTGATTACCAGATCTTGTTTCGCTCTTTCTGCTTGAGGTAAAGTATCAGGTGTTTCAAAAGTCACTATGGCCATATGAACAGTGGGTTTATGTGGGGCCTTAGAGAATATATTGTCAGACATAGAGAGTTCAAACTGAGTGAAGTAATTCAACAGGGAAGGCAGTGCACTCATGTTTGTGATGTCTCGGGGAAGGGTTCATGTGCATTCGATGCGGTTCTTGTCGATCGTATGACCTCCAGACCAGGAGTCATCTGGGTCAGATGATTTTGCAAGCAGGATCAAAGTTACAAGCTTTAGAGTGTTAAAGTGGTTCCATGTGCCAGCTGATCGCACGGTCTCGGAGGACACATTTCATTAAGTTTGCAGGGGAGGGGTGGTGGGGTCTTGCATGAGGACTTCTCTACAGTTGTGTTGGCTTGTTGAGAACTGGTTCAAGTTTGGCAGTGATGGTTTTTTTTTACCTGTTGCTGTGTCACTATAACAGTGTCTTTCCCATGGTCAAATTGATCTGCATGACAATTTTCACAATTGTATTGAGCATTAGTATGCAAAGTGTGGTCATCAAAACAGCAATTCCGACTTTTGAAATGCCCAGAATATGCCTGTATCACATGAAAATATCATTTTCCCCCTTTCATTGCTTTTTAATAACGCTTACTTCTACTTGGGCTTGATTATAGTGTGCTTGAGTGAATATTATAAATAGAAATTTGTTGTGATTAGGCAGCTCAATACAGTAGTGTCCAGTTAAAAAAAAAAAAGGGATCACTGACTGTTCTGATTATAGATTAATCTCATTATCATGAAATCAGTCATCTTGAAACCTACATGGTACATATTGAAATTATGTTCTGTGTTTACCCTTTGAGGAGAGAGTAGAGAAGCAAAGACAGGGGAAAAGAAATTTTTCTTCCCTGAAATTACTTTTTTTTTTTTTGTTGCAAAGAGTGTGACATATGTGCACACCTCATGCACTCCCAAATTTAAAAGGAATATATTTAATTCATATATACAAAGAATTAATCTCACATGACCATGCTTATCCGTTGACAAGGAAAGGTATTCTCTCCTCACAACAGGGCATTGAAAAGAAACAGTTACTTGCTGTTGCATACTCTGCTTGCTTTTGTTAACCAGATCCTGTAATCATCTGTGTTGTTAGGTTTGCTAATGTACTTCCCATGAGGACTGAATCATGAGCCATCAAATTGTGGCTTATTCTCTTGTAACTCACCTATACATTCTTGTTTGCTACAAAGTTTCGGGTCTGGAGGAGTCATTAATGCGCCATTAGCCGTGTAGCAAGAGAAAGAATAAAACCAGATTCAGTTACAGTTGAGGTAAGATTACCAGAAAGCTGTTTGTTTTTTAATGTTTTTTTATATAAATACTTTTTATTTTAAATCTGCACGATCTCTCACGAGGTGCCATTTGATTTCTCTTACAGCAAAGGAAGACAGGACAAGTGCGCGGTACAAAGGCCGTAGAATGAAGCAACAGTTTTTAGGGATTCCCCAGGATTCGCAGGACAAAGCAAACCGATACCAAAGACGGTCATTTACTAGGAAAAGTGTACCCTCGTGCGGAATCCACGCGTCCGAAGACGCGAGCAGGAAGTTGTCCGGATGAGAAGCAGCAGCCCTCCTATGGTCTGTCTCCACTGGTTTTTTTTTTTTTTTTCTTTTCATCCATCCTGGGACAATTGCGTGATGATGCTTGTTATCATATAATCTTATCTCATGGCTGGAGTTTCATCCTTTCATCGCTTTTCATTGTTTCCCCTATATCACCTCCTGTGCCAATTTATTGGGAATAGCCAAATTTATTTTGCCAATATTTGGTGTCCATTCCATCATGAACTGTAAACCCCATTGAACCTTTTGAGTTGCCTTACTCGTCCCATGCGGAGTCGCTCCATCCCGCGGCTCGCATCTTCGTGCACGTGTAGGCGGTAGTGCACCGCAGGGTAGAGAGTCGTCCAGGTACCCTTTTTAGCGTTGACTCACTATCTAGAATTTGGAGTAATGAAATCTGAGAGTTTGTAGGAAGTTCCTCCCTGGATTTATGCAATAGTTTTGCCTGCCTTGTTATTTGTCGAGGGGTGTGATCCTTACGTGCAGTCGTATTTGCTTTCATCCGATTCAGAAGCATTCCCATTTTGAATCGAAGCAGAGTTTGACTCCCAAATCCTCCAAGGTCAAACTGGCTTCACTGCACCCTGAATCCATGTATTTGTGTTTTGCATCTCTGTGGTAAGATTCTTCTTGAAACACTGGTGAAGTTTAAGAAGCTAAAGGCCTTCGGAGCCATTGTTGATGCAAGATTCCAAAATGTCCCTCATGCGTAAAGATGTGGGACAAGCCTGGGAAAACCAGCGAAATAATTTAAATCAACTTTTCTTCTCGAGTGCAACGTGATTGCACTCCATTTCCCTAAGATGAAACTCCCTTTGTGCTTCCTAAACTGATCGGAAACATTCCAGCATTGGTTTGCTCATTATATGGTAATTTATATATTGAGGCAAGAAGATGCAGTTTTTACTTCTCAGGTCATGGTTTCCCTAAGAGGAAATTTGGGTGCACTCCCGACTTTTAAAACGTCTCCGAGTCGGCATCAGATGCACTCTTTTTTTTTAGAGTCAGATTCAGATTTTTAGCTGGAGTGCCATTGTTCATAGGCATTTGGGGGATGTCTGATACCAGTACCAAGTAGGCAAGAAAGTAACAGTATATTGTGGGATCAGAGACGACCGGTGTCTCGAGCTAGTCATCGTCTTTGCTCATCGATAGATGTACCGAGTAGTACCAATCAATGAAATAGTATTGAATGGAATGCATGCAATTATAAGGAATGAAGAGGCTTCTTTTTTTTCTTCCCTTTGAATTTGTATTTGGATCACCCTGTTTGTTTCTCCACAATGTGTGCCTTCTAATTTTCTCATTGTAATTAGGGATGTCAGGGTTCAGTGATGCATGGATTTCTCTGTTGGTTGCATCATACTATGCTTGGAAAAGGAATAGAATCAGATGCAGAAAAGTTGATATTATAAAGATCTATGCTACAGTTGAATATAATTTTTTTTTTGCATTTCTCCTCATCTGCCCCAATCACTATCTTACAGCTACTGAAATTGAGGTTTGAATTAATGTGATGATAGGACACTACATGGGTAGGAAAATGAGAGAAGAGGCACCTTGATGCAGTTTCTAATCCCTGCTTCCTTAAGTTTCTGTGTTATCAATGCATGAAAGCAATATCCATGATTATGTATCTTGAAAGCTGCCTTTGTGACATCCCTAATTGCTCACAATGCACCATATTTCTTTCACATGACTGCATCCCTTTGCAAACGTGTCTGTTTTCTTTAAATAGATGGAATTCATTCCAATGGAGGTGGGTTGCATATGAGAAAAGTCTTGCTTTTTGAACGAAACACAAATTCTGGGGATAAATCATGAGAAAAAAACAAAAATGTTGAATAAAGGCTCTGTTGTGATAACATCACCCAAGAGAGTCATTCACTTGTTCTGGAAAACACCAAGTCATTGAGTCACATTGAACATGAGTTGAATGCTCGCTCACTTTGAGAGGGACTCGCAAAGTCATGGTGCATCGCAGAATGACCAAGGTCATGAGAAGGCACAAAAATGCACCATGCAATTGTGACTCGGGATTGCGATCTGGGTCGACCCTGCGTCCGTCGAGTCGTTCGCATCACGTGCTTCAGGCACTGGCACGTTGGATCTGGACCTGGAACTTGCAGATGGGCATGGCTGAAACCTCAGCTGTCACCACAGAAACGATGCCCAGATTTGCCAGGGCGCCGCGCACCAGGCCGCACGTAAACACGACCAGCTTGGGTGCCGCTTCCATGTACTGGCCAGACGTGGACACCTTGGCGAGGTGCCGGAAGCGGTTGTCCTGCAGGACGTAGACGCCCTGGCGGTTGGTTCGCAGGTTGTCCACCTGCTTGCGGAACACTGCCGTCCAGAACTCCTTGCAGATGAATTTCATGGAGTCGAGCTCGTCCTTGAAGCGGGGCCACTCGCGGGTGAGGCGCTCCACCAGGCGGTAGCCGCTCGAGAAGCCCAGGTGCTCCATGGTGGAAATGCTCAGGTGAATGCCTGGGTTCCGCTCCGGCTGCAGCAGCGTGGACACCAGCTCCATGTGGAGGTAGTCGAAGAGACCTTCATCCGAATTTCCACCTGCCTGAAACATCTTCGACGGCACGATCTCAGACCTGAGAATTCAATTAGAAACTTTTTCTTGCAGTCTCATTGAGTGCAGAATACAGGATTCCATTCCTCACAGTTTTTTTTTTTCCTCAAATGCACTTTAAGATATCCTGATGGAACTTGAACAAGTGGAACTGTTACCAGTTAATGTGCCTTACCACCATATACACAGCAACTAAAACTGAAAAGTCCTAGCTGCTTTACCTTGAGAATTTATTCATGTCTAACTTATTCCTACAGCAGTCCAACACCGACAGGAAACCACCTTGGATGCAGCTTTTACTGGTCAATGTTTCTAATAACCAATTCCACTCGCTTTGCATGTTTTGATGGAAGGGCAAAGTGACACAACTTTGACCCTTTTAAAAGACTCCTGTTTCTGACCATGCATTTCAAATCAGTTCATTGCCTTGTCTTGCTGGCACTGTTCTATTAAAAGGAATTCACAAAGCAGAAAAAAGATTTAACACTTACAGCCCTGGCAATCTGAAGTCTCATATGATGGCTGCAGGGCTCAAAGTGTTAGCAGAAAACAAATATTTTCGAATTTTCAGCATTGTAACCAGACTGCTTGAAATTACTGACAAAAAAAACCTGTTTTTTAAGTTACCAGGGTATCATTGCACCACATGAAGGTAAAACTTTGTGAGCTTGGAAACAAAGTGCCAACAGAATTGATCAATCTGAAAAGTGACTTTTGTGATTCCAATCTCTGCAGGATTTAGCATACTCAGCACCAGATTTGGTGCATCACGAGTCATAGCTGATTGCATGTGACAGTGGAAACTAGGATTGATTACCTCCATATATTTGGATTAATAATAGAATGGATAAGGCATTGTGACCTGAAGGGCCAAACACGAGCATGCACACAAGTTAGCAAATGGGAACGATGTCGCAGCTGCACTGCTCGTGCAAAGCACCTTACGGGTGCTCGACCGTTCGGGTGCCAGACGGCTCGTGAGGATCCACCGCCGAATGCTTCGTGTGGGGACATAGTCGTGAGTTTATTTCACAATGAGGGGGAATCATTATGCTCTGTTTTGTCGCAGGACAAAATGGCACAGAAGACAAAGACGATCAATGGAAAAAAATACCCGCCTGCCTGTGAAAGCACCACGATTGACCAGACTCCAACAAATCTGGGTTCCTTCTCTCGCAATTCACCACATCCATCTCCCACAATTAACCTCATCGATTTTTCTTATTTTAAAAAAAAAAAGGTGGGGGGGGGGAACACAAGACGTGCATAACAATGATTTGATTACGAAGATTCAATGATGAAAAATGTCCGACCGGGGAAAAAAAAAAGAGGTGATTTGGCGAATGTGTCGAGTTGGCAAGCGTGATATGATTTGCAAGTCTTCTCCTGCTACCACAGCTTGATTTTTTCCATTGAGAGAGATCTGGGATCACAGTCTGACAAAATGAGCCTAACATGGAAGGAATCCTACGAAACTCTATTCACCGCTCGCTCGAAGCTCTCCGAGAAACACGAAACACACTGCGGACTCTGCACATCGATGCCGACAACACCGCGGTCGCGCCTTGGCGATGCGTGCCCCCATGACGGCACGTCACGATTCGCATGGGAAAACCGCACCGAAACGAGATAAAATTTGAACAGGGAACTTTGGAAAAAAATCGGCTGAACAGGAAATCCATTACACAGGTACACATCTTTGGCATGCCAAGCAGCAGATTCAACGACTCCGAGGGAGCCCCCGACGGACAGTGTCTGAGATCGTGGTAGTGGAACAAAGGGATGCGAACCGCCCACGTCGCCTCCCCACTGGCTCTGGCCGAGGTGAGAGGTGACCTTCAGATGATCCTGCTCGGGTTCAAGTGAGATGAGGCTTCCCGTTGGAGGGCTTCTTCCGCGAGAAGCTCCGCTGCCGTGTTAGCTGACTGGTGGACCCGTGCCGGATGCGTGCCCCGCTGTCGCTGCTGTTGTAGTCCAACAGTGCCTCTGAAATGACAGAAGCGGAGACTCGTATTCCAGGTCACGAAAAGTCAATGGTACAGTATTTTTCTAAATTGCCTACAAATCCAGACCTGAAGGTTTGGTTTAGGCATACATATGATTTTCAGCTACATTTTCCCACCTTCAAGTTGTCCTCCAAAAGACATTCTCCTAATGGCATCATATTACGGGACACGGTATCAGACATCTTCAGGCTTTACTAGAAAAAGAATTACAAGACCAGATGTCACCACATCACCTCCATGCCACCCATCTTCCAAACCAAAACATAAACCAAACAATAAAACACTCCCATACTGCCTCGCATAAACTGACACCCATTCCGTGATATAATTTTTCACAACGGGAACGAACCACCCAGATCACAAACTCCATACAAACTTCCTGTAGTCAACCCACACCACAAAACAAGGCCCAGAACTACAAACAAATTCCTCCAGCTGCAAGAACATCTTCACTAAACTCATCAGTCCTGGAAATCTCAACACACTACCATCATCGGCACAAGCATACATCCACAAGAAGGCCACTGGAGCAGTACCTTTCTCGGTGGGTGAAGCGAGGGTGAGGGAAGAGAGGGAGGAAGAGAGATTCTGGTGCGAGGAGACGGAGAGCGTCGAGGGGTACTGCGTGTGGTCGTGCCCGCTCCCGTCCCCGTCGCACTCCCCCTCCTCGATCGGCAGGCAGGTCTCCACCATCGCCTCCAGGTAGTTCACGAACAGCTCTGCGTTCTCGGCCACGCAGTTGTTCAGCTGGGAGCAGAACGCCATGAGTGAGTCATTCTTGTTCTAACAACGGATCAGAGGCGACGGTGAGCCACTCGAGTCCACTTCGGATCTTTTTCATCTCGGCATTTCACAGGGACAAGAAGCACAATGACACACAGATCTGGTTCTTCTGATTCCATGCTTTCTTACTGTGGGTTAATTAGGTCGAAAAGGACTGGAAATTCCATGAATCAATCTTCAGAAACAAGCGGTGAATCCCACCAAAGAACATTATGAACCAGGATTCCCCCTACAAACCTTCCAAGCCTAAAATAAAGGTACTTCCACACCCCAAACTCATCAGAATTATGAAATTATCCAGATCAAAGCATCAGAAACCTCACCTCAGCACCAAGTCTCCAAGATGAACTTAATTCACATAATTGAGATCAAACAACACCAAACTCACTACATGTTTAACTCCATTTCCAATCCACCCAAACATGTTTTTAAGTAACCAATTTGAGTCTCTTTCTGCCATTCCAGCCCTCCCTTTCACCACATGAGACTTCCCCCCCGCTCCATCCTCACCTTGGAGAAGGGGCCGGCGAACCGCCAGAGCCCTCCGAACCCGATGCTCTGCAGGTAGTGGATGCTCTGGAGGGAGGCGTCCTCGGATGCGACCATGTTCTGGATGATCGCCTGGACGGCACCCAGGATCACGGCGTCGTGGCACAGCGACAGCACCGACGTGATCTTGGCGTCCAGCAAGGAATTGCTGCAACGACAAAACGTCCCCGTCGTCACCGTGGACGCTGCGAATCGGAGCGACGCTCGAGAGAGCCAGACTCTTAGGTAAATTTTCCTGCATTAATTATTCTGACAAATTCTACTACCTACTTTTCACCATTTTACAAACAATGCATGTCCCACCCCACATGAATACTCATGTCAGGTTCAAGACTTCAACAGTGCTCAGAAGAAAGGAATTGCACTTTCCTGAAAGCAATTTTCTGGTCGAAATCTTAAAATGCGAGAGCAAGCACTAGCCAAACAGAAACAAATTTCTCAAACCTTCATGGTTTTGAATCAATGCATCAATCCTCATCTACGATGATTTGCGAGAAAAGGTCAGTCATTATTTTTCAGACATAATAGTACTTAGTAACGTGAGCCAAAACAAAGCCCAGTTTTGGTTCAAAAACAACCAATATTCTCAGNTGATATGATTTGCAAGTCTTCTCCTGCTACCACAGCTTGATTTTTTCCATTGAGAGAGATCTGGGATCACAGTCTGACAAAATGAGCCTAACATGGAAGGAATCCTACGAAACTCTATTCACCGCTCGCTCGAAGCTCTCCGAGAAACACGAAACACACTGCGGACTCTGCACATCGATGCCGACAACACCGCGGTCGCGCCTTGGCGATGCGTGCCCCCATGACGGCACGTCACGATTCGCATGGGAAAACCGCACCGAAACGAGATAAAATTTGAACAGGGAACTTTGGAAAAAAATCGGCTGAACAGGAAATCCATTACACAGGTACACATCTTTGGCATGCCAAGCAGCAGATTCAACGACTCCGAGGGAGCCCCCGACGGACAGTGTCTGAGATCGTGGTAGTGGAACAAAGGGATGCGAACCGCCCACGTCGCCTCCCCACTGGCTCTGGCCGAGGTGAGAGGTGACCTTCAGATGATCCTGCTCGGGTTCAAGTGAGATGAGGCTTCCCGTTGGAGGGCTTCTTCCGCGAGAAGCTCCGCTGCCGTGTTAGCTGACTGGTGGACCCGTGCCGGATGCGTGCCCCGCTGTCGCTGCTGTTGTAGTCCAACAGTGCCTCTGAAACGACAGAAGCGGAGACTCGTATTCCGGGTCACGAAAAGTCAATGGTACAGTATTTTTCTAAATTGCCCACAAATCCAGACCTGAAGGTTTGGTTTAGGCATACATATGATTTTCAGCTACATTTTCCCACCTTCAAGTTGTGCTCCAAAAGACATTCTCCTAATGGCATCATATTACAGGACACGGTATCAGACATCTTCAGGCTTTACTAGAAAAAGAATTACAAGACCAGATGTCACCACATCACCTCCATGCCACCCATCTTCCAAACCAAAAAATAAACCAAACAATAAAACGCTCCCACCCTGCCTCGCACAAACTGACACCCATTCCGTGATATAATTTTTCACAACGGGAATGAACAACCCAGATCACAAACTCCATACAAACTTCCTGTAGTCAACCCACACCACAAAACAAGGCCCAGAACTACAAACAAATTCCTCCAGCTGCAAGAGCATCTTCCCTAAACTCATCAGACCTGGAAATCTCAACACACTACATCATCAGCACAAGCATACATCCACACGAAGGCCCCTGGAGCAGTACCTTTCTCGGTGGGCGAAGCGAGGGTGAGGGAAGAGAGGGAGGAAGAGAGATTCTGGTGCGAGGAGACGGAGAGCGTCGAGGGGTACTGCGTGTGGTCGTGCCCGCTCCCGTCCCCGTCGCACTCCCCCTCCTCGATCGGCAGGCAGGTCTCCACCATCGCCTCCAGGTAGTTCACAAACAGCTCTGCGTTCTCGGCCACGCAGTTGTTCAGCTGGGAGCAGAACGCCATGAGTGAGTCATTCTTGTTCTAACAACGGATCAGAGGCGACGGTGAGCCACTCGAGTCCACTTCGGATCTTTTTCATCTCGGCATTTCACAGGGACAAGAAGCACAATGACACACAGATCTGGTTCTTCTGATTCCATGCTTTCTTACTGTGGGTTAATTAGGTCGAAAAGGACTGGAAATTCCATGAATCAATCTTCAGAAACAAGCGGTGAATCCCACCAAAGAACATTATGAACCAGGATTCCCCCTACAAACCTTCCAAGCCTAAAATAAAGGTACTTCCACACCCCAAACTCATCAGAATTATGAAATTATCCAGATCAAAGCATCAGAAACCTCACCTCAGCACCAAGTCTCCAAGATGAACTTAATTCACATAATTGAGATCAAACAACACCAAACTCACTACATGTTTAACTCCATTTCCAATCCACCCAAACATGTTTTTAAGTAACCAATTTGAGTCTCTTTCTGCCATTCCAGCCCTCCCTTTCACCACATGAGACTTCCCCCCCGCTCCATCCTCACCTTGGAGAAGGGGCCGGCGAACCGCCAGAGCCCTCCGAACCCGATGCTCTGCAGGTAGTGGATGCTCTGGAGGGAGGCGTCCTCGGATGCGACCATGTTCTGGATGATCGCCTGGACGGCACCCAGGATCACGGCGTCGTGGCACAGCGACAGCACCGACGTGATCTTGGCGTCCAGCAAGGAATTGCTGCAACGACAAAACGTCCCCGTCGTCACCGTGGACGCTGCGAATCGGAGCGACGCTCGAGAGAGCCAGACTCTTAGGTAAATTTTCCTGCATTAATTATTCTGACAAATTCTACTACCTACTTTTCACCATTTTACAAACAATGCATGTCCCACCCCACATGAATACTCATGTCAGGTTCAAGACTTCAACAGTGCTCAGAAGAAAGGAATTGCACTTTCCTGAAAGCAATTTTCTGGTCGAAATCTTAAAATGCGAGAGCAAGCACTAGCCAAACAGAAACAAATTTCTCAAACCTTCATGGTTTTGAATCAATGCATCAATCCTCATCTACGATGATTTGCGAGAAAAGGTCAGTCATTATTTTTCAGACATAATAGTACTTAGTAACGTGAGCCAAAACAAAGCCCAGTTTTGGTTCAAAAACAACCAATATTCTCAGAAAACATTTACCAATACCTGCCAAGTAAACCCACAAGTCTGCCTATGGTAATTGTGGCTTTCACAGCATTAAAATTATTCTGCCACTGGGTGAAGCACCACTCCTTTTCTTGACCCCATCCCATCACGCATGAACCAACTCCCGAATGTCCCAAAACCCCAAGTCTCGATCCACACCTCCCAGCCAGAGGACAGGCAAAAGGCTGAGGAGCCAAACCGACTCCGCTGCCCTCCCCCCGGGGAGAAAGAAGGAGGTCGACGACGTACATGACGGAGAAGACGCGGGAGAACACGACCGAGGCCTCCGCCAGGTACTGGTAGAGGATCCGGAGCTCCGCCTCGTCGGACGAGTTCCGCACCAGCGTCGCGAGGACGTTCAGCACCAGCGCCTGCACCGACTCCTCCCGCAGGATGTCCGGATCCAGGAGGATCCCGCTCTCGGTCGACACCGAGCCCCGCTCCGACCGACGGGCCGAGGTGTCGCCGGAGCTGTCCGCCTGAGTGCAAGAAAATGCCTTGGGGTCAGCTTAACCAACACATTGGGAAAGTCCACCATCATAACTTAATATAATAAATAAAATTCCACCCCACCCTATCTCCTGGAAAATAAGCATCTGAAGAAAATAAGCAGTCAGGTTGATCAAGTAGCCATTGGTCTTTTGTTGGTGAAAAGCAAATGAGGCAGGCTTCACAATGGAGCAGTGAGACTAATACTATGTTAAAAAGAGAAGTGAACCAGGCACATGTGCAAGCATGGACTTCCAATCTGGCCTAAAAAAAATTCCTGTTTTTTTTTTGGCAACTCCACTACCACCATAATCAAGTTCTAAGTTTCTGCGCCTCTTCACCCTTCTTGCAGGCAGCATTCCATGCCTCAAAAAACACATCTAGCCTTCTACATTTGAGAGTCACACCAACATCAAAGTATTCTTTTCTTTTCAACACTGTCAGCATTCACATTTGGCAAAGGTGCTACTCCCACAGTGCTTTTCTTTCTTTCCTGAATTTCATTTCCCGTACCAAAGTACATCGGGAACAAGGACCAATTGGTTCTGGGTGGATGAGTTGAGTTTGCCTCAAACCCAGCATGAAGGCATGAATCAATATTATTAATTAATGCATTCCTTTATGCAGTGCTTTAGGTGCTTGCACTCCCATTAAATAATTGCCAGAGACATCGAGCGGAAGGAACCACTCGGAACGAACGAAAAAGGAGACGAAGGCTCACGACAGACGACTCACCTGTGGTTTGGAGAAATTCCTCTGGGGCAGAGACGGTGGGGGATGCTCGATGAGTCTCTCCCAGGAGCGCTGGCGGAACTGGGTGTTGTGGGGGGGGAGCGGCGGGGGCGAGCTCTCGGCGCTCTGGGTCGGCGGGGAACTCGGGGAACCCACCGCACCCGCCTGCTGCTGCAATCAGATGAGGACGTTTCAATGCACATCCCTGCGTTTCGCGATCGGTTTCGCGACCGGCTCCTCACCGAGGCAGAGGGCGACAGGTTGAGGTGGAGGTCCACGGGGAAGTTCTCAAAGGAGGTAGAAGAGGGGATGATTTGAGCAACGCTGTGCTTCAGGCGGCACCGGGAACGCACTTCTTCCGACACAGGAAGCAGGGCTGCATGAAAGAATAAATTCAAGTTCAATTTCATGAATGCACTGAATCGAGTCGACCTAGAACATTAAATGGCAATGAGAGCTGCAAAATGTTACCAGCATGGAAAAGGTAATTGATTGCTACATAAGAAACTACCAATGAAAAGCTTAAATGGAATCTCACATTGCCCAATGAGATATATTTAAATGTATTACTATTTCTGTAATAAATGCAAAGGCATATCAAGAGTAGTAACAACCGACTCACCCAGGATTACATTTTTTCCCTCAATTATCCCCAATGAAAACTCAGAATGTTCAGAATTATTGAAACAAAAAAAAAAGTTAAATATCCAGGGACGAACCGACAAGGTATGCGATGTTGTCCCCCGACACCTCGAACTTGTCTCGCTGATGCGGCTTCGCCACGATGGAGAGGAGCATGTGGAGGATGCGGCCCGTGCGAGCCACCGTCGCCGGCTTCGGGTGCCGATAGCCCTTCAGCAGGTGGCCCACCAGAGCAAAATGGAAGTTGGCTGCGATGGTAACCATTGTACCATGATAACCACCATCGTTTGTATAATCACCTCTATAATTCCTTCATGCCCTGATTAATACCACTTAAAATCACTTTGATAATCACCATTCTATTCATCGTGATCTCAGGGAACCCGAGAGGTACATCAGTCATTACGAGATACAACAGTCATTACGAGATACAACAGTCATTACAAGTAGAGATGCAACGATATTGAATTTTGGCCGATATCCGATATACCGATAATTCCGATATTGGAAAAGAACCTATACCGATACCGATATCTTTATATACATTTATATTTGCACATTCAGGGTAGATTTTGAACAGTGAACTATCTGATTACACTGCTTTATTTCCAGGAAATGTGTGTTTACCCCAGAATAAAGCTGCATTATCAGATTGTTCTCTGTTCAAAAATCCACCCTCAGGCATTAACCCCTCCACTTTTAAGTTTTATTTTGGGCCAGGTCTGATGGGGAAAGCTTGAGGTG